TCCACGTCGTTTTGGCTGGTGAACCGGCCGAGAAGGAGATCGCGCAATAGAAGTGCACGCTTTCCTGGATCCGAAACAAAACCATCCGGAGTTTGGAGTGGCGGAGCGGCAGATGTAGGTTGCGGCTTTGCCCAGCGTGCCATCCGATACATGTCGATGTCTGTTGTAGCTTCCGAGAACTTTCGCTGCCAGTATTGGCGTTTCGCACTTCTGACTATGCGACGGAAATCCTTTCTACTCTCTTCGTCCCTGAATATCCTATATTTGCGTTTGGCCTGTGAGCATTCCAACGTCCACCAAGGTGCTGTCCTACCTTTCTTCGTGCTCCCGTGTCTTCCGGTAGCCCTGATAGCATCGCTGATGGTTTGAACCAGTTTATCCGCAAGGTTGTCTACCGCGCTTTATGAATCCATTGGCTGTAGCCCTATTCCATGAGCCCATCTACCAAGCACCTTGGCAAAGTCTTCGAGGGCGTCGTCTGTCACTCGTACCGGTTGACCAGTTTTGATAACCGCTATGGCTTTCGAGTTCGGGCGGGGAACGTCTCCTGCAAGCGTTCTGTGGTCCGATGTTGAGTCAAGCTCTGTCGAGACATCTTCAAGGGCACCAGCGTTAGACCAGACCAGGTCGAGTGTGTTTCCAAAGTCGTGTGTCGGGACGCCCGGTGTGGAAGATAGGTCCATACCGTGCTCGAACATCCACTCGGTGAGCACCTGGCCGTCACCGTGTAGCCTAGTAGCCATTGGCTGCCAGTCGGTGTGAACAGCATTGAAGTCTCCGCCAATAACTGTAGGCCCAGATGGAGCCCATGATAGCAGCGGCAAAAGGTCTGCTCCAGGAGCGCGGTATTTGGAGACAAATGTGACTCCTTCTACCTTTACTGCGGTGAGATCTGGTGATGTCTCGCAGATTGCTTGCTGTTGGCAATGGATCCCTTTTCGCGTGTAGATGAGGGAGCGTGGCCTTGAAGAGTTAGCAGTGACACGGGGAGGCAAATGCCTATCGAATCCGGGATGCAACTTGGTGAGCCAGAAGCCGTCCTTGTGTTTAGTCCAGGGTTCCTGGATAAGTAGGACATCGGTTCCTAAATCCCAAGCGGATTGCAGGATGATGTCCGTAGCCGGGTCTCCTCTACCCAGATTAGCGCAGAGGAACGAGATTGTTGTTGCCGTTTTTTGAAGCTCGGTTGGGTTGTGGTCCCTTACGGGCATTGAGCAACGTTTGTATTTTCGTTTTCAGCAGTAGCCTCGGTGGCTTTCTGCTTTGCTTCCATCTCTCTGATCGAAGCATTCCTTTCTTTTTGACCCTGCTTGCAGATCACCGACAGCTGGTCTCTTGTGCGTTGCACCGTCTTCCCACCAGCCCGTGTCAGCCTAGCCATACAGTTAGGCTCAGTTGCAGCATGTGGCCCGTGGCAATTGATGCACCTTGGTACGGCCTGTTTGCACTCAGTAGCTTTGTGCTCAATTGAGCCACAGCGGGTGCAGCGCTCTGCTCGTGAACAAATTTTAGTTGGGTGGTGTCCCCAGCATTGGTTGCATTGCGCAATTTTGAGCTTGCGCTGGAGTTTGTGAAGGCGCCCGCTTTCTTCAAACAGTCTTTCTCCAAGTTTTGGTTTTCCTGTTGCGAAGTGCAACACCCAGTCCGTTGACGGCCTGACCATGCTAGTAGCGAAAGCACGAGCTGAGGTTGGTCTAACTCCTATTTTGAGAGCTGCTTCTTCTATTACCATCTTTGGTGTCACTATGGTAGGCCCTTCCAGAGTGTAAAGCTTGTCTGGGATATTCGGTGCCAGGACTGATATCCAGTTGGAGGCGGCTTCCAATTTCATTTCTGAGCTATCTAATATGGCTCCTCCTGAGAGAAGTGCACCTCTAGCTCCTTCCCCTTCGGCTTGTATTGCGAACCCTGAGTTCACGACAGTGACCTGTTTGATTGTCGAGTTGGCCAGACGCAGCTTGCTAGCTAGGCTAATCTTTACGAAGTAGGTGTCAGAGGAAAGCTAAGAGTGATATAGTTGGGTCTGAATCATGAGCTATATTTAATCTAAAGAAAGAAAGTTCTATGTACACGAAATTATCATACAAACTATGTGCCGAGGCTGGAAGATTATCAGCCGAGCCTAACCAGATCAAGATGAGTATGATTAGGCGAGCGCATGCTTAGTACAGTTCACAACTGTTACAGTAGGGTGACATACGTCTCCACGGGTGGTCAGGTTTGAGGCGCAAAAATACGCGCTCGTCAGGTCGCTGGGGGTTTGTTGCTGGAGCTTTAGGCTTCGGCGCGGAAACGGACCTCACTGGCACTATCTTGGGTGTTGAAGTTGGAGCCATTTGGTTTGCTGGCTTGTTTCTTTTTCCCAACACCTCGGTCCAAGATTTCTCTGTAGCGTTGTTGTTGGTTTTGTTTGAGCCCTGGTTGGGCTGGAGAGTTGCGGTTGTGGCTACCGGCCTTTGTGGTGCCGGTCTATTCTTTTCTCTGGCAAGGATCAGCACTGGACGTGTGACGCTTGCAGGACCTTGTTTTGGAGGCTCTGTAACTTGAGCCGGGTTAGATGTGTTAGTATGGCCGCTTGCAGCCTTTGGGGGAGCGTTGGCGTCTGCTTGAGATGGGTTGCCCCATAAAATTTCCAGTGTCTTGCCCTGAAGGGCCAGTAAGTCCTGATCAAAGAGTTTTCGAAGTCTCTCGTCAGTGACTGGTTCCAATAGCTTGCAGAACCCGATGATGAAACGCTCTGCTTGTGCAGAGCGCGTCTGGAATATCCTGCCCTGTTCGGCGAGGAATTCGGTCGCGACAATTTGAGGCGACGGAGTTTGTTGGTTGGGCGAGCTTCGATGACTCGCCTCGTAGATTGGCTCTACAAATTGTTGGGTGGGTGGTTGCGGCCCGTTAAGGACCATTTCGACGTCTTGACGCGTCGAACATTGAGTGGGGAGGGGGGGCCAGGGGCCAGCCTCTGCGGAGGACTGGGGCGGCATGAGTGATTGAAAGATGAATTTGTCAGTAAAATGTCGTAGGTAGAATGCGATGTGATGGATTGCGTTGATGGCGGACAGCTGGGCAGACTCTTCTGTAATTTCTAGGTGTTGTAGTGCGCGCTAGAGCGTCGGGTAGTTCTGTAGGGACTGGGCAGTCCAGCACGTGTCAGTAGTCACGAGCTGTGGACAGGCACGACGTTAAATTCAATCAAATCAAATCAAAGGAGGCCAGGTGATTGGGAGTGACTCTGATCCATTGTTAGGGGCGGAGGTTTGCGATACTGAAGTCTTTGAGGCCCAAAAATCTCTGAGAGGAGCCATGGGAAAAGCAAGCGACTGTCCGATAAAGTTGCTCCTCGACAGTTCCATAGCCATGAGAGCTCTAAAAAGAGGCCAAAAGACATCTTCCCAGGCTGCAGTAGAAGTATTTACAAAACTGGCACGACAAGCCAGATCAGTTGAAATCCAATGGATACTAGCCCACTCTGGGATCATGGAGAATGAAGATATAGACAGACTGTCTAAAGAAGCCCTCAGGAACCTACCGGATGAAATGGTCACATCTCCCTTAGAAACGAGGGACGGACCTAAGTTCACTAGCGCAGCCCTCACTCGATTTGTCAGGTAAAGATGCGAAGAAGCAGTGGAATCCTGGTGGCTAGATCACAGACCGAGCCGTTACGAACAATTGGATCTCCAGATGAAACGAAAACGTCCACCGGAGCTAGCACTTCCGAGGTGGGCGCATCACCCTCTTATCGCAGCAAGGACAGGAAATGGCGATTTCAGAAAATACCATAAAAAGTTTGGCCACATATTTGAAGACTGCACATGTGTGTGCGGAAGAGAGTAACGTGCTTGGCATTTCACCGAATGCCGGATTGCTTCATAGCTATGGAGAAACTCGAAGCATGAACCATCACCGAAAGGACAGGAGATGCTGGCAGAAAAGAATTGGGAAATATTTCTTAAGTTATTAACAGTAACTAAGTGTTATGAGAGGCAGATAACACACCGGGAGGATTAAGTCCTGCCGAAATAGAAGTTTTGCAGGACAAAGAGTTGTGAGGAAGGAGGTAAGGAGCAGTGCGCTAAATTTTCTTGGAATTTATTAATTATTTATGTTTCGCGTATAGATTTGACAAGCAAACTATGTATTTAGGTTTTAGTGTGCCCCTAAGGGGGTATAGACCCGTATCACACCTATTGGGTGTAGGGCGTAAGTCTGATATGAGATGAATTCAAATTAAATCATCATCGGAGGTACATACGTGCTTATTAATGGCACTCAACGAATATGAGGAAAATTCACTTGGAAGATGTAACGGGAAAGGGAACAGGAGAGAAGCACGGGATCCGGATGAACAAGAATACTCTTCTACTTTTATTTCCGTTTTTGATTTGAGTATCGTTTTTAACTACTGCGCTTTCTATGGAAGTTCACGCGTTTGGAATAAAATGTGCATGTAAGCAGAGATCCTCGCCGACTTCACAGGTACTGGACCCAAACTGGGCACAGAGCATCAACTTAACACCTAATCCGATATAAAAGATAAAATATACCTCTGCATCGTCCGTAGATTCGAGATATACATCTTTATCCATCACCACTTCTGCAGTGGCAACTGAATTCTCGTTACCTGTGATATTACAGAGACTGAACCTATCATATTAACAGGTTTGCATCGGCATAAATTGGTGATATTTTGAGATTACTTTCTCTAATACATTTACTACTGCTTTATTTTTGAAAATTTTTTCGTCCTAAAAAAGTCTTAGTCTATTAAAAGATATGTAGCACTTTATCGTGCTTTCGATTCGCAATGGCATGAAATCCAGGTTTGGGTTTCTTATCATCCTGCAAATGAACAGTTTGAGCGCTAGATGACTCTTATGCTCTAGCACTAATACTATGCGTATCCACGTTTAAGGCTAAAACAGACTGATAAACTGAATCCTCCTGGGGCATTATGCCATAGTAGCTATAGCTAGGACTGATTCACTTACTCAATTATATGGCTACTTTTTACCGAAAAAAGACATAATATTGCCCTGCACAGGCTTTCCCCCAACTCCCCTTTTTGACTTGGAAACTGCAGAGGGGTGTGATTTAGGCTTCAAGGCTGGCGCTTTTTCATCCTCTGAAAATGACTCCCATGCCGGCTCCTCTTTAGTAACTGCACTGCATTAGCATATTCTAGCTGTTTATTATCATGCTAAGACAGGGAGGTTTACCCAAGAATCCTTCTTCGTCTTTGAATGTAGTTTTTTTCATTACCCTCCTCCTACTTCTCTTCCTCGGGTTGTTTGTGGTCGGAATCTCATCTTTTACCTTAACTATTTTTTCGGATGAGTTTGAATCCTCTATATTTTTGATATCGACAACAGAAATTGGCTCTTCTTTTTCCACTTCATCATTATCATCATCATCATCATCATCATCCATCATTTTTCTTAGGGCTTCTTCTCTCTCTTTCTTTGATTTCTGACTTTTATCGACAGCCTGGTTTATTAAAGAAGCCGAAAATTTGGTCTCATCATCTGATATTTCCATTTCATCGATTGAAGATTCATCCACAATGATACCTGAGGAAGGTATTTTCACAATTGAAGAGTGACCCCCAGCAGCCTTAATTTTTGGCTTTGATTTGGAAAAAGCTTTGAAAATTGCTGATGAATCGCTCTTTGGGGGTTCTTGATCTGCTGCAATTTTGTTTGTCGAGGGCAAGCCAGAATGTTTTATCGGAATGGCCATAGATGTAACATCTTTAGCTTGGGTTTGACCTCTATCAAAGAAATCTCTAGCTGTGGGTGGCTTTGTTGGTTCAATTTTTGTTTTTGTTGTAATTGCAGTTTGATTTTCACCCGAGCCAGTCCTGACGCTAGAGGAGGTATTTTTATTTGGAGCATCTCGAGCTGATGCCACCATCCTAACTCCAGTACGACGCCTGACATCTTTACATTTTATAGAGCCGTATTTAGAATATGTCTCAATCTGATCTTTACCCACGCATATTTCCTGTACTTCCCGAGATACGTCTGATAAAACCTGAACATCCTGTAACTGTTAAGCCAGTAACTAACATTTTTCTAGGTAATTTCTCACTTTGAGTGCCTGTTGGGATATGCTGTAAATATGAATAGCACTCAAAGACTCGTATTTGGATCGTTCTTCTGCTACGATATTAGGTAATTTTTTTCATTTATGATTAAAGATATGTAGCTTGCCGTCAAGTATCTCTTCCCGGACTAAGCTGATAGTCGTCACTGGAATTTTCTGGGTGTCTTCCGGAGGTGGCGATGAGCTACACAGGTAGGAAATACTTTGATGTAAATTGTCGACATTTATGGACTTCTTTGCCAAAGACTGGGATGCCACTTCTTCCCGTCTAACACCGCTGATGAGATAAGTGGCGTGGAGTGATCCAGGTTTCTTTTTATTCTGTACACGGTGAAATTCATAAAGCATCCTATCCACCGATGGGCAGATATATTAGCAATCGCAGTTGGTTGTAACGTGGCACATACTCTTTAGCAACATTAACATGGATGTCTAAAGCGCGACTGAGGAGTCTGTATGTAACCAGGATTTATATCAGCAGTTGTAGCTAAATGACTACTCCTGTGCCTACTATTTTATTTTCGGTAAAGATGTTGGCGGCTAGATAACTCCTGTATTCTATCATAATTACTGGAAGCAATCGATTTGCAGGCTTAACAGTTGGCAGGGTGTTAGTGTTGACTTGGTTAACCTCCCATCGTTTAAAGGCGACCAGCTGCATTAGGAAAAATAAATACAGGGGTATCTTCTACTGGCTACTTTCCACAGACTTGCGCGTTCTCAAAATGACAGACAATTTTCACGAGGCCGACTCAACTGACTGGCTTGGTACGAAGTTACAAAAACTTTTTCACGTCGATTCTGCACTGCGGTGTCAAGTTTGCAAAGATTTTTATTCAACGCCGATGATCACGTCATGTTCTCACACGTTCTGTTCTTTGTGCATACGCAGATGTCTAAGCAACGATGGTAGATGCCCAGCATGTCGAGCTGAGGAACAGGAGCTCAAACTAAGAAACAATAGCGCTGTTGAAGAGCTGGTAGAAGCATTCAAAAATGCAAGGGAAGACGTTATGAACTTCGCAAGAACGCCGAAATATCCGTCCGAGAGCAAGTTCTCTCCGAAGAGAAAGTCCGATGAGACCGAAACTGAAGAAAATAGCTCCACTCGTAAGCGAACGAAGCGTTCTGGGCAGTACACATCCGAGTACTTTGTCTCAGTTGAATCAGATAAAGATGATGGAACATACATTCCTGGTTTGCTCTATTTGATTCCCATATATTGTGGTCGGCTAACGAGAGTCATCCAGAAGATGGCTTTGTTCAATGCCCGATATGTAATTTACGCATGTCTGAGAAAAAGATGAACGCTCACCTTGATCGTAACTGTCAGGAGTTCCCCAATACCCCATCGAAGTCTGAAACAGGGAGCAGAAAATTAAACGGAATTCTACAGAAGGTAGATGAAAACACAATGAAGCGCCCAATTCGGTTACCGAAAATAAATTTTTCTATGTTTAAAGATGCGCAGTTGAAGAGAAAATTGGGAGAGCATGGCTTATCGCAAGGTGGATCTCGACAGGCAATGCAAAAGAGATATACAGAGTGGGTCACATTGTGGAACTCAAACTGCGATGCGACAAAACCTCGCCCGACAAGAGAATTAAGAGGTGAGTTAGAGAAATGGGAACGCATACAAGAGGGGAAAAGAGTCGGGTTAGGTCCTCAGATTCAAACCGGGATAAAAATAAGAGAAAAGGGTTTTGACGGGGTAGCATGGTCGAGTTCTCACAGTAATTCGTTCAAAGAACTTGTAGAAAAGGCGCGTAGAAAGGCCGACAGCTTCGAAGAGGGCCCTCTGCTTTCAGAAGCAACTCCCACACTATTACCAGTATCACCCAATAAAGTGAGAGAAAACAGCAGCACCATAGATGCTGTCAAAGACCCAACGACATTGTGAAATTATTAAAACATCAGTAGTTAATTAGATCCTAATAACGTCAAAAGTGGAGTCCGAGGAATTTCAGAAGCCTTTTACAACTTATCCACCCCTAAAGCCAATTTGAAGACTATAATCTATTTTAAATACTAACACAGATTATCAGAAATCCATGGTGTAATTAAAAGTTTTAAATTAAAATAAACGAGTCATGTAAGAGGCTGCTCTGAAAACTTTGGGCTAAATGTGCCTCAAAGATTCCTTCACTCTGAAATAGGTTTTTCCACTGCTGCAATCGAGATTGATTGTTCATTTGATATCAGTTCTGGCCCTTTACTCTGTGTACTTCGATCGTCTTTAGCTGAAATTCCAGCATCATTCAACGCATCCAATATCTGTTTCGTCTCGGCAGCCTCCTTTTGTTCTCGATTTGCACGATCTTTGGTCGCCTTCTCTCTTTCTTCTTTTTCCATAAACTCTAACTCTTCATCAACTTCTATATCTTGGATGATATCATTAAACCCAAGCCCTGTGCTGGTAGTTATCTCATCGACGAGTGACATTTCTTGTTGCAATCGGCCAACGACGTATTCTACCTTATCAATTCCACCAGCTTCTTTGCTAAGGTTTGCAAGAGCTTGTGAACTAGCTTCCATGACCTTCACCAACTCAATTTGATCCGCAGCTTTTTCGATACTTGAGAGTACGTTTTCCAATTGCAATAGCGTCCCTTGTCGCTCATTAAGCGTCTTTATCAATCCTTTTTTTGAACGAAGAGCCACAATTGCTGCCTCGCGATTTTTATTTGTAACTGCTTCTTTAGCTGCTGCATCTAAACTAGCTAGCCGCTCTGATAGATAAAAGATCTTTGCATCTAAATCCTGAATCAAAGATTTTAAAGAGGCTATAGTTGTGTCTTCCGTAGTGATCAGATCTGCTTCATCAGCTGACCTTAATTTCACTATTTCTGAGTTATACGATATGAAGCCTTTATCTCGCGCTAGAAACTTGAGAAATAACTCCATGTCAGATTCCGATAAATTTGCGTTGAGACCAAGGATATTTTGAAATTTTTCTGCAAAACATTTTCGAGTAAATACCTTCTCTGACCTACTTTTGAGTTCCCCAAACCTCTTTTGGGCTTCTTTTCCCGCAATTTCCAGATTCTCTACTATTACTACCTTCCCTATGCTATAATAATCATCATCTTCACCCTCTGTACTTATACCCAGTCGCCTTAGACTCCATGTCAAAATATCCCATGGTTGTATTACCCAGCTACCCTTGTGATAAATATTTTGTTGCATTTTCTTAAAATATTGCAGTTGTAGTAATTCACCGCGCGTAATTCCTTCTTGAATGACAGCTCCTAGTGCTAAGGGTCGCCCATTCTCTGTCTCGAATGCGTGCAAGAGCTCAGTGGTAAGAGATAAAGATAGTCTATCGGGTGATGGAAGAGCTCCAGCACGAGCTGCATGGGCAAGACTCCTAAGCCATGCGGTAATATTAGCTATGAATCCATCGGGGTTCGTTTTGCGAAGGTGACGAAAGTCGGAATAAAGCGCTGGGAGACGGCTTCTAAATACATCTCAGTACGAGTAGGTGATTGACGAGTGAGAGCTAGCTGGGAGGGACAGACTTGCGGAACTGAGGCTCGTTGCAGTGGAGAAATTCTAGAACGTTGGTCATTGTACGGATTATGAACACTGTAGCTGTGAAGCTGAAGATAGAATTTCTGGTGAGCCAGGGCCCCCTCGGTTATGCGACTACCTAAGGGCTCCTCCTTTATCGATGGCTATTCGCACAAGCTATAAACAGGGGGTCATAAAAGACGCAAGTGCGCATAAATTTATGCACAAACCATCGCAAATGTTTTCCATCTATACCAGATGTAGATAAAATCTAACAATTCATAATGTAACACCAGGCGCCACCGATACCTCCCTGGATTTCATACTCCTAACAATTACTCCACCCTGCTAGAAACTTTTCTTCATTTATTCAAATTGATCTAATTTAAGTGGGTCGCCTTCACTCTCCAAAAAAGTTGCTTTTAAAGGAGTAGTTGCCAGGCCTGATAGAGATGGAGCAATTCCACTCATAATACTTCTTCGATTAGGCCTGGAGTCAAAACCCTCGCTATCTTCAACTAGGGTTTCAAGATCTTCTATTAAAATAGATTCTTCTTTCGACGGGACTGGCATTAGCGCTAATTGGACTTCACGCTGCAGCGATTCAAGATAAGAACTTGCAGCTGTGAAGGTTTTTAGACTATCTTTATTTAAAAGTTGAGAATATTTTGTTTTTGCGATATCCAATTGTCGCTTTGACTGTTGAGGCTTCCCATGTGCCAGCCATGAGTCTGCTGCTTGAATACTCCACAAAGCAGACTTTCGTGTTCTGCTACCCCATCGTCTCGATTCAATTCCTTTGTTGGATGCATAGCAAGCGGCTATGCGTTCTTTGAGCAAGGCATCACCAACTGCTCCGACTACCTTGTATTCCAGTAGCCGAAGTCCCCATTTTGCTGCATCTGAGGTCGCAGAACCGCCACGCAATCTTAGTAATTCCATCCCCATTATTAAACATCTCAGGGTACCGTACGAGACCCCACAACGAGTTATGTATGAATATGATGCCGTTTCTAACATCTGATCGATAGATTCTGCCCTGGTCTTAGAGCTTGTTGACTTTGGAACCAATAAGGCACTTATAGCGGCCATTTCATTTGCTGCAGCATGATATTTCCATGCCTTATCAGTACTGAAGTCTGAACGTAACAAATCATAAGTTGAGAGTGCTAGTTTCCAGTCTCGAAGCATGAAGGCATAGTCGGCTAGTTTCCTCATCAATGCTTCAGGCGCATCAAACCGATAAAATCCATGCTCCGAATCATAATTTGGGTTAGAGCCAGAACTACCGCTACTCACTGTGGAATTACGTGAGTTTCGACCGAACCCTGCCCATTGCTTAGAGATACTGAGGATACGGCCGCTGAGACCTCTTCGTCGCGATGCAACCTGGTCATTCCAAGTTGCGACGCATCTCTCCATAGACGGAATGATCGATTGATTAACCATCTCGCGGATGAATGTTTTTATTGCCATGGTGTCTGATCCGTATATGTATGGGGGATAATCACTATCTTCTTCTTTCACTTCTCGAGCTTGAATCTCCGATATCTGCTCAGAAGCAGACATCCATTTGCAGCGGGGTAGTTGCATACTATCATCATCCGATGCTATACACCGACTACTCCTTAATCTGAGGAGATGGCAATGAAGGCCGAAATGCCTTTTCATTTGGTCAAAGAGCGCGACCGACTTGGTGAAATCACTTCTTTCTTCATCATGAACGAGAACATAATACCTAAGGTAATCATTGTTCACCCATGTAGGCAACCGATTTTTCCCATAATTAGCATCGTCATATAGTTCTCTTAGGGTCTCAATAGGGTTTGCGTTACGAGAACTGATGGCAATAACACAAGCCACAGGGTGCGAAAAAGTTTCGTGTGGTGTGAGTGGGATATTAGAAATTAGCCCTCGCATAAATAGTGCGTAAAATGGCGTCGGTACTTCAGGGCTTTGCTTTCCATTGTTCAGAGGGGATTGATCTTCACATCTATCTTCCATTGAAAAACTTTCAGCTTGAGTTAAGTGGTATTCCACAAGAGCCTCAATGGAAGTAATAATCTCGTTTGTCGGCTCGCGTTGACTTAAAACATTATCAACGCGCTCTTTGTTGCCATTCAGAATTAAATGGTAACCACCAGTAACTTTTGGTAAATCTGAATTTCCAGTTGTACCAATGCTATTACCAAACTCTGAAAAGCGCACTGCGTAGTCTTCCCAGGTTTTTCCTGCACCAATGCTATCGCGTACAGTGACCTTACCCTGAACTTGTTCGCCAAATGGCCGTAACAGCCTGCAGAGACCACCCTGAAATCCTTTATCGTTGACCAGCTCGGTTGTATCGACAGAGGAATGAACAGCAATGTGTGGCACGAAAGCTTGTAGTATTAGGCTCCTGGGATCCTCTGGTTGGTCAATTAATGATAAATTTTGGCTCTTTTCATTGTTATTCCCGAATATTTGAGAAGATACCAGTCGTGGTAATTTGCCGACTCTGCTAGGAGAGTTAGATCTTGAGATTGTAGAGGTGGACGTTGTCAGAAGGAGTGAGTTGAGAGAGGTATTTGAAGCCCGGTGTGGTAGGGTTTTCCCGGAAGATACTGCTGGTTGACTTTCGATTGAAATTCGAATATTCTGAGGACGCGATGATGAATAATCTACTTGAGGTTTGGATGAGTCGTTGTTCGACGCATCGCTGAAAGGTGACATGAAGACTTCCAGCTAATATGGCAAGCTAGACTATCTTGAAATGATTAAATGGTATTCTTAAGTCCGCTCCAACAACGTTCGCCCGATTGAAGACAAGGCTAGTGAAGAAATTAGCAATTTTGAGCTTGAATTGTTTTTCCCGAGACCATACTTCTTGATAACTCATCCCTGAGACGGAGGCACTGTCCCTTATGGTGGCATTTCAGAACTTCTTTATCGCATGATCACGTGATTTACATCTAGTAGCCATGAACTGTTCAATTATGTTGTTGTCCATAGAACTTTTTAGTTACAATTTTTTCGTATTATTTTTGATAATATATTGAGAATTAATATCAGTACAGCTATGAAGACATGTTGCATCAAGTTAAATCATGCCCTGGACATCGTCTATTGGGATCACTTAACGAAATGGTGACATTTCGCATCTTATCTCTAATGAACCCAATAAATTATCAGATTTCAGACCCACAAATAATATCGATCTCCAAAAGAACCAAACACACCATGATAGCTAAGAGAATAAATCTTACCTCTAGTGAAGCAAGGCTCCGCTCATTGCTGCTAGATGTGGCTAAAGTCGTCGATGAGTCAAATGAATTTAAAGATAAACTTATCCTTCGATTCGCCGGAGGATGGGTGCGTGACAAGCTGCTCGGTATTCCAAGTAACGATATCGATGTTGCTGTCAATGTAGTAACAGGCACTCGATTCACTAGTGAAGTATGGAACTACCTTCAAAAAAACGCCCATCTTGAAAAACACCATTTAAATGCACAGGATTTTGGTAGATTTTACATGACCGTAGCAAACCCTGAAAAGTCGAAACATCTAGAAACCTCGACAATGACCGTTATGGGCTATGATGTCGACTTTGTCAATTTACGAAAGGAGACCTACACGGGTGAGAGCCGTAATCCACAAATGGAGTTTGGAACACCTGAAGAAGATGCACTACGCAGAGATGCCACTATCAATTCCATCTTTTACAATATTCATACTGAAGAAATTGAAGATTACACAGGTGGCTTAAATGACCTCGCTGCCAAACGGATACGGACGCCCATCGATCCAAAAACAACTTTCCTAGATGATCCGTTGCGCGTTTTAAGACTCATAAGGTTTGCAAATAGGCTGAATTTCGAGATTGAAAGAGAGTGTGAAGTTTTTATGCATGATGCAGAAGTTTTGGATGCTTTCCAGCGCAAAATAAGTAGGGAAAGGGTACTATCAGAAATTATGAAAATGCTAAAAGGTAAATGCTCAGCAATTTTTAGGTTACATCTAGCTTATATCATTAAAGGTCAAAATCCCTACGCTGCTCTTCGGATTTTTGATCGACTAGGATTATACTTCAATATTTTTGTTGACACAGCATCTACTGAAAGTGCACCAACTCCGGATATTACAAATTGGAAAATTGCTTATGGTTGTCTGCAAGAGATGATTTCAACTTCCTCCCTCAGTTGTATACTAGAAGAGTCAGATTATGATACATGCTGGCTTCTAGCAGCGTACACACCCTGGTCATCAGTTAAAGAGAGACCCCAGTACGTTGGAAAAGCGAAACTTGCCTGGGGGGGGTACATGGCTCGTGAAGCATTAAAACTTGAAAACAAGAAGATAAGTCTCATCTCTGGCTCTCTGAAACATTGTCGTGACATTATAAATCTTAAGGATGCAATCATCAAAGGAAGTTCCGAGATTTATCGAAGGGATTATGTGGCCAACCTAATTCGTGGTTGGGATTTGCAGGGAAAATGGCAGCTTCAGGTAATTTTTTCAATCTTGGTAGAAGCAATGAATAGCGAATACTCTGAAGATATGTCTAGAGTATATCAGAGAAATTTTCGCTCGTGGGATAAATTCATAGACCACTTGGAGGATTTAAAGCTAATGAACGCTCCATCTATCAAAAATCTTGTTGATGGAGAGGCTCTGATGGAGGCCTTAGACTTGAAAGCTGGAAAATGGGTGGCGCAAACGCTGAAATTTTGCATGGATTGGACTCTACGTTACCCAGATGCAAACGATCCGAGAGAGGTTATTGAAGAGGTGCAGAAAAGAAGGTTAGAGTTAGGAATACCAACATGTGTATCAAACAAAGCCAATAAACTACATCAAATTAATAAATGAATGGATAAATAATTTTCTACGTATTTTTTTACTGCTTTTCCTTAATTTGGTGCTCTATGGGCTTATTCAGGTGTCTTTATGCCTAAGTTTGTTTTTAAATTATTTAATTTGTTTTCAGCTATCTAGCTATGACACATGACACATTGCCGGTGCCACCATTCCTGAATAACTTTGAGAAAATCTATGATACCCTATAATCATCTCCCTTACCCTTTGATTCGCATACATTTACACTAATTCGATTTCTCATAGCAGCAAGACCCCAGATCTCCAACATGTCTCCGGGGCCTGTCAAATCATCGCGACTTATTCGCCATAAAAGAATTATGGACAGAATGAATACGAAGCTGAAAAAGCACTTGGAACGCAAAAGAATCCCATTAAGCTCGATAGACGGGCAGAAGATGGAATTGGACATGGCCGAGAGGATAAGAGCCTTCGAAGAATACTCGAACTCCACAAACCCAGATGTTGAGATGGGTGATGCAGCCATCAGTCAATATATCAAAGAGGGTCTTGGGAGCTCGAGGTGGAATATACAGGAGCCCGAAGACCGTCAGGCTTCAGAGGCCCCCGTCAATATAAACACAAGGAAGATTGCTGTGCCGGTCATTGAGCGGACATCTAATGTTGACGGAAAAAAGGCCGACTTAGCCGCGTCCACCACAACCCCTCAGAATACCATTCCGGGGGCAAGTGTAAACAATCAATCTTCTTTCAGCGATAGTAGCCCCAAGAACACTGTGACTTGTCCTCTAGAGCTTCGAGCCATACTTGAGGCCGAAGAAAAGCGGGCGGCCCAGACCGCAACTAATCTCACAATATGCACCGCTGCTATCAATGGTGTGGAGAATGCGCTCTTACCTCTATTCAAAGGATCGAGCTATCACTTGCTGGCGTTTTATAATTACTCGGATGTTCAGAATATATAATTGTAGTTGCACAAGGAACGAAACTAATCTACAAGCAGAGATCTAAATCTAAGTATCCTCGCTTAGTTACGCCATAATTATCACATGACTACACCCCAACTAGCTGCCCCTGTGACACTACCTCCCATTTAAACAAGAGCTTAACTCTTGTACCATGAGAAAAAAAAAAAAAGATAAAGAGAAGCAATTGGATAGAAAGATAACATTCTCACTTGCGTTTTAGCCATGGCCGTGGTGCTCCTGCTTGTGGATTTCGTTTATGAAACTTCCAGAGTGCGTCATCACATCCCTTTAAATGCGATGCAGGTTCCCATGTTGTGTCGCCTGCAGTCCATTGAACTTGATAGTACCAGCGATTATTTTGCATCTTTTCGTATCCTACAATTTTATCGAAGTGATATTCTACCACATCTCTCTGGCCATCTGTTCTTACAATTATTCTGCCCTCATTTGCTTTTATATCCTCGTCTTCTTGCCCTGGTGCTCGCTCACTCGATCTCAATTGAACGTTAGAAACGTAAAAATTGGATAAATTTTTATATTTTGTGGTAGATCTACCGTTACGGTGTGTGGCGAGGTTCTTGTGACACGAAATGGACCTTCCCATCGTGGGTTGAGTTTTTCAAGAGGTCGCCCCATTTTCCAGTTCTGAGTGCTTATCATAACCATATCTCCAATATGATATTTTGGTGCGTCCGAACGATGCAAATTTGCATTTTTTTCATAACGGTCTTGAGAAACCTTGGACAAGGTCTTAACATGATCTAGAATGACTTTAAATCTATTAGCTATCTCATGAGCCTTAAAATATTCTTTCCGCTGAGCTTCCGATGGCATTGGGGCTGCTGGTATTTGAGCTTCAATGCCCAACTTTGGATTGTAACCATAATTGACAAAGAAAGGACTAACCCCTGTTGTTGAGGATATAGCATTATTCCCCGCGAATTCGGCTAGCGGCAGCCACATAGCCCAGTCATCTTGAGCCCAGTTTACATAAATTCGTAGAAATTATTCTACTTCAGCATTGACCTGCTCTGTTTGTCCATTCGTTTCTGGGTGATATGCAGAAGAGGGCTTGAGAACAGTTCCCAGTCTTTGGGATAGAGATTTCCAGAATGTGGAGATAAATTGAGACCCTCGATCGGAGACAATCCGTTCTGGTGAACCATGCAGCGACCAAATTTTTTCGATAAACATTTCGGCCAGCTCCTCTGCGGATAGAGTCTCAGTTGGAAGAAAGTGGCGCATTTTTGTAAGTCGATCTACAACAACAGCAATGTTTCGGAATTTTCGATGTCGAACTTCACATTCTGGCAATGATGATATGTAGTCAATGGAAATATCAGACCATGGTTTAAATGGTAATGGTAGTGGTTTAAGCAGTCCGGTAGGAGCTTTCTAGGTGTCTTAGTTTTAGTGCAAAGGAGACAGCCTTTGCAAAACTTCCTTGCAGCGTCTGTCATACCGGGCCACCAGTACGTTCTATTTATTAAGTCAATAGTTCTCTCTCTTCCTGGGTGTCCGGCGGCTCCTGAATAGTGTGCTCTGTGAAGTACCTGAAGTTGGATTTCTTCATTGTCTGGTGGGATTACTAGACGGTCTCTATAATAAACGCGTCCAGCTACTATTCGACATTCACTAAATGCGATTTTTAACAGTCTCGCAAGCGAAGGTTTCCAGCGTCTAACGGTAGAATCTGATAGATCAGTTATGATATCTTGCATAATTAAGGAGTTGTTGTATGCGTTCGAGATCAAATCATCGATTGATTGAGAGACGTCTATTTTGTACCTTTTAATGGATTTCAAATGAGCAAAACTGTGATCAAATTTGGAAGCCGGAATCAAAGAAACGCGCCTTGCGGAAAGGCGGTCATCTAAAATATCCTTTGGAGCATCTTGCGGCCTTCGGCTCAAGGCATCGGCTCGGGTATTCACTGTACCTGGCCGATATATAAGCTGGAAATTGAATCGGGATAAGAATTCCGCCCATCGCATTTGCTTTTGATTTAAATCCTTAGTTGTCTGAAAAGTCTGGAGATTTTTATGATCTGTTAATATTTCAAATTGGGATTGTAGTCCTTCTAACTCTGGGCGCCATTCTTCTAGTGATTTGATAACACTGAGTAATTCCTTATCATAAATGTCATAATTGCACTCTTGAGCTGAATGTTTGGACGAAAAATATGCGACAGGTCTTAGTCCGCTTCCAACCCATTGTGATAAAGTACCACCACATGCCCAATTACTTGCATCTACTTCCACAGCGGTTTTTCTTGACCAATCAAAGACCGCGAGAGAAGGAGCTTTGCTGAATGCCTCCCGTAAATTTTGAAATGCAGACAAACATATAGAATTCCAGGTCCAAAAAGCATCTGTTTATTGACTTAACGATCAAATGATCAATATGTATTTCCTTAGAACTAATGACTAATTGTGTTGATGAGTAATGAGGTACCCGGTTGGGAATGGCGTTAGGAGACGGGGGTTTTACGGTTTATAGAAGTTTTTCTTCAAGGAAGACAGGGGGGAGATAGATTTTTTCATACGTACCATAATTGTTACTGCTACATCAAGCTTGTGATATCAATTACCACCGAAGTATTCCGACACTGATCAGTTTTCGAATTCAGATCAGAATACCTGTGAAGAGAGAAACAAATAAGTCCAGTCCCTGATAAAGGCCTCTGTTCAATTTGTTTTTGCTAAGGAATATATTTTGAAAGTCGTCCCCTGAAAGAGGCCCTCGTCTTCCAGTCTATATTCAAGAAATCAACCCCTGATAAAGGCACTTGATTTTGCGCCCATCACGCACTCATACACGCATTCCGAACTTAAATAAATTATCAATTTAATAGGAAATTACCCCCATACCCTCTATACCCTCGATCTTACTGTCAATTCTGCATAGTCAAATCTTTGCATTTCCGATTTTTCTTTCCATGCTGAAAATCCCACTATAAGATACCTATATACCCAGATAACTTACGCAATGGCAGAAACAAGCGTTAAGAATGACATCGCCTCATCCGGACAAGAAGACCAACAAAGGTCTGTAAATAATTATATAAGGGAAAAGATACGTGAATTTTCGGAATTCAATTTTAAGGATGATAATCTTTGGGAGGCATACAAAGATAAATTTTCGCACTTCACTGAAGCTGATTTCAAGGCTGCATCGCTTTCAGTTCAACGCTGTCTTCGACTTTACCTGAGGTCAAACGGAGTTTGGGTAGAATGGGACAGAAAGAGAAAAACTACAATCGCCAAGTCCTTACACAATACTTTGATGGAAAAAATACCATCTGAATGGGCTTTTGAAGAAGTTTCCAATTCAAACGAAACTTTTAATTCGGTTAAAATTTTACATCTCATGAAAAACAGCACATCCAAACAACCGACTCTTGTAAAAGACAAAGTAACCTCTTTCTCGACTACTTCAGCCGACACTGCCTCGAACAAATATCAATCTAACTCGCTTCCATCCTCATCACAACCACCTGCCGATTATGCGAGAGAATTAGCAAATCTTTCGAAGATGTACGAGCCTGACTTGAAGTACCATGGCGAAGATGATACGTTTGATTTCAAGATAAATATCTTCATGGAATTATGTGAAAAGTCTGGGATACCGGAACAACTACACGCGAAAGCATATTCGACTATGCTTAGCGGCCCGGCCCTAACTCACTACTATTCTATCACATCAAACAGAAATCAGAAGGATTTTGATAATTTGTGCACTGCAACAAAAGAATATTTCGAAGGTCCAGAAACAAAACGAAACAGGTTAGCCAGATGGGAAGCTCTCTCTTTAACCCGAGTCATAATGGAAAATGAAAGCAAAGGCAAATCAGTCCAAGAATGCCTAATGCTGCTGGTAAAAGAACTTCGATTTTTGCAACAAAGTTTCGACCCTGAGTATAGGACAGACAAGCATCTACATCTTAAACTCATAAATGCTTGTCGAGGAGTCCAAGCTTGTCAACTTGCATGCTTTAAGCCAAGTGAGACTCTAAGTGGTTTAATAAACGACCTCCAGGCGTCAATATTTACAGCTGAAGCAAAC